GCAGATTCGGTCATTAATTTTAGTTGACATTCGACGATGTATGAAATATAATCATTCAATATTCGAATACAATAACATCAATGGTTAGTGCATATAAGGGAAACTGAAATACGCATGCAGATTCGGTCATTAATGTTAATTGAAGTTGAAGATAATAGTATTTTGTACATCGAATATTGTCGAAATATTTTATAAAGTTGGATTTTATAAAATATAAAATATTATATTTAAAATTTAAATATATGCCTAATTATGAAATAAGGTCGCATTTTTTTCCTATTTTTATTTATACTTATGTAACGAAATATATTTTGAAGTTGAAGATAATAGTATTTTGTACATCGAATATTGTCGAAATATAAAATATAAAGTTTGATTTTATAAAATAGAAAATATTATATTTAAATTTTAAATATATGCCTAATTATGAAATAAGGTCGCATTTTTTTCCTATTTTTATTTATACTTATGTAACGAAATATATTTTGAATTTGAATAAATCATACAATAACATGTACCAAAATTATTCTATATGCATGTTTTACATTTACAATATTACATGGAGAATGATATACATAATATATATCGTACATGTAACAAAATACTTATATCAGGAAATATATCATACTTATGTAACAAAATATATCGTATCGTATATAAGGAAATATATAAGGAAATTTAATTAACTATATGCCGAGTATATGCATGTCTTTATTGTTATATCATATATGTCATATATGTATATTTATATCAATGGTATGTTGTGTAATTATTCTAATTAACTAAGGTATTTTAGTTAAAATGTGTGAGAAGGCTTGTGGAGTTGCCACGTAGGAAATGGCATGCATGTAATAAACACATGAAGTAAAGGTTTATTTGCAAAAGTTCTCCTCAAATAATAAGAAGGGGATTACCCTCATTTATACTAATTTGGGTTTATACCAAAAATTACATTTACTCATTTCTACGTATTCCACTCATTTTTATTATATTCTTATGTGTTATTCAATAATCTCAATCTTTTTCTTTTTTGAATTTTAACCTTTCATTTGATTAATATAACACGTTATTTTATATAATTATGTATATAGTTACAATATTGACATATCTATCTATAATGATATGTTAATTATTACTCATAATAAGGGTTAAAAATACAAAATAAACACTTATAGTAGTTTCAATTTTTATTTTCACCCCTAATATTATGAAAGAAACTATGTAATATTTTTCACCAACTATTACAGTATAATATTTAATTATAATAAACTTTGATATATTTTTCAAAAATCACTATCACACTCCAACAACATAACTTACATCACAGCCCAAGAAATTAAGATTTATTCAACTAGATAATAATTTATTCAAATTTTAAATATTTCACACAAACATTAAGTTTATCAATTAACAAATCATATGATGTTAAAATAGGGTTTAACTTGGTTTAAGTGGATTTAAAAAATAATAATATAAACTCATTTAGTTTAATGGGTTTTTAATAGGTTATTGGATTAAAATTTATTCATTAAATGTGATTTTACTTAAAGTTAGTGAAAACCATATTAACTCATATATATATATATATATATATATATATAATAGAACATATTAAAATTTGTTTTTTAAAACACTTTTCAAAAGTTGTGTTCGGTTTCTGGTATGATTGGGTTTGATATTAGTTTTTGGATATAACACTTTTAGAACCATTCGAATATATAAGCCATGTCTAATGTATGAGACTTTGATTTTCAGGTCGATTCTAAATCGTTTATTTAACAAATATTATTGACTAATTATATTAGGTAACTACTAAGATAATATTATATGTTGCAACATTTAGGAATAAAGTTTAAAAATAATTTTGGAGATGTATATGGCACAAATGTATAGTTACGCAACTTGACATATTTAATATAGTTATCAAAATTAGATTAAATAAAATTAAAATAACCACAAATATGATTTAAAAAAACACAAATATAAAAAAATATTTTTTTGTCAAAAAAATTAAAACAAAAAAATACCCGCCCTTTCGAAGGGCGGGTCAGTATCTAGTCTATTATATTAAAAGAAAAGTCATGACTCACTTCATGTGTGATATTTTAGTTTGGACCATCTTTAGAGTTTTATAAAATCTTACATAACATTATAATATATTTTCATATCTCTAATTTTTGTTTGAAATACAAATAAATAGTTTTAAGAAAATTCTAACAAAATCTTTTAAAAATATTTTAGAATCATTTTCAAGATATAGTTTCAAAAATTATTTGATTAAAATTTTAATTATCATAAAATCTAATTAAAATTTTAATTCATTTTTAATTTATAAACAAAAAATTAAAATCATGTAAAATACTTTTTACAATATCCCAAAATTTTGTTTATGTATTATGTAGGTCCAACTTAATTAACTTTTACATAGATTTCAAATTTAGAAATAAAACAAAATATATAAGTTAGTAATCTTACATAATATTTTTTAAAATTATTACAAAATACAAATTTATAAATTTTATATTAATAATATTATAAGTCACATAAAATGATTATAAAATTGGATAGCATAAAGAATCAAATTATACTTATTTATTGATAAATTTTATTATATAATTTCAAATATTTTTCGTATTAAAATATCCGCATGGTTGTGCGGGTCGAAATCTCGCCACAAAAAGAAGAAACTAAAGGAACTGTAAGGCCCGTGGGCTTCAGGCCCGTGAGAGTTATAAATGCGGTATAAACAACGCATGGCATAAAGTCTCAAAACCAGCGCCGTTGAATCAACGCATTGATTGATCGGATCCTCTCGAAATCGGCGCCGTTGAATCAACGCATTGGCGTCGTTCATCCTCGACAACAACAGGCCCATCCATCTCTACTCCTCCATTCTCTGATTCTGGAGGTAAACCCTAACCCTAACCCTAACCCTAACCCTACAAGTGGAGTTACAACTCTAGAAGCTTCTGGTGCCTTTGAAAGTAAGCTTTTTCCACAAGAAAGCAATTGACGCTGTAGAGTTGTGTAGATGTGATAATATTACACGAGTAGCATTAGGTGTGTAATGTGATCGTGGCATTGCAATTGACGCTGTAGAGTTGTGTAGATGTGATAATATCACACGAGTAGCATTAGGTGTGTAATGTGATCGTGGCATTGCAATTGATGCTGTAGAGTTGTGGATTCTTCTGCCTGTGTCTTTCAAGCTGTAATCTTTAATCTTTAAAGAACAAGAATCTGCTATAAGTTTTTTGCAACTTAGCATCCAGGAGAGATATCTCCTCTGTCTTCAAGTGTTGTTTTTCCATTGTACAAGGTTTGTTGATGATTTAATGTGTGATTGTTTGTGTTTTGGTGGCAGAGAAAGAAGCAACCATGGAGACCCCTCATAAGCCTCTTGAGTATATCATTGATATGGGTACTTTACAGAAACGCAGAGAGAAAGTCACTCAAGATCAATTGTCTGAGAAGATTCTCGAGAAGAGCCAGAACACTAATTTTCCCAAAACTTCTGTAATCTCCAAAAAGCTAGCCTATACTCGCAGTAACCCCTTCAGGGTTCACAAGCACAAGAAAGTGAGAGGTTGTCTTCACATGGAGGTGCAGCTGAGTGAACTTGTTGAAGTGTGCAAGGGAATACATCACTATGTGAAGAAACTCTCTCAAGACAGAGATGAAGATCCTAAAAGATTTAAGAAGAAGAGAGCTCAAAGTGTAAGGAAGACAAGAAATATCTACTCTTCTGCTTCAAGTGATGATGTGGTGAGTCCAGGAGAGATATCTCCTCTGTCTTCAGAGGTTGTGCGTTCAGAAGAGACAAGGGGTGGTGAACAGGGAAAGATTACAAGCTACGAGACCTTTGTCAACCAAAAGAATGACTCTCTTGCCATGGTAACAGTGCTGATCGCTGCCTGTATCTTTCAAGGTGGGTTCAATCCTCCAGCCATATTAGACTCTCTTTGGATTAAGCGGATCTTTCAGTACTCACTTTGGGGTGCAGCCATCTTTACATCGTTTGCTCTGCTTCTTATTTTGGCCACCACTCCAACATCTGCAGAAGTCCATTCCACAAGGTTGTCATCAGGTTATGTGTTGTTGACCCTTGCTTATCTTTGCATCCTCATATCTTTTGGGGCATCAACTTTCTCATTGTCAAGGACACCACTGAGCGCTGTTATTGGAGGATTGGCGATTCTGGTTCTTGTGTTGGTGTTCAGTTACTTCACGATTTCAAAAGTCAGACAAGTGATACAAAAATACACTGGATTTACGTTGATTGGGACGTCTGATCAAGCTCCCTACTCTACTGTATTTTCCAAGGTGTTCTCATTCTCAAGAAAGACTGCCAAGTAGATTTTCTTGGTGCTGATTCCAAGGCTTCTGCTCTCTCCTCGCTTCTCGGAGTCTTCTTCTGATATTCTCGGAGTCTTCTTCTGATATTCTCGTAGTAGCGTTAATGTGCTAAGCAAAGACATCTCTTGTGTCTTTTCTGGCTTTTCTTTGTCTTTTGAACTTGAACTTGTACTCTTGTTTCTCTTCTGTTTCTCCTCTGCTTCTTCTGTGCGTGCTTGGTTATGTTTCATGGGTGTTTTTGCGGACTTCGCAGTGCCTGTTCTTGCGGGAAGACGGGTCTCGCCTGTTTTGTTTACGTAGATGTTTAAACCTTCTTGACTAATGTTTAGTACGCATATCTTTGTTGATTGACCAAGAACTTGTTTGTTACAGATTCTGTAAGAGCTAATAAACACTTCAACTAAAAATCAGAGACTCGGTACAATAAGATGTTTAAAATATTTTCTTGAATGGCTGTGAGTTAAATAGTTTGGTTGAGAAGATGGGATGTAAAAGCGCACCTGAATGTTCGAATTCTGTTTATCATTACTTGTGGTTTCTTCGGATGCCCCGCCACAATGATAGTATGTTGTTTCAGAACAAGGAGCTAAGTTTGTTTCTGCAGTGGCTTGATCACAAAATGCGGTTGCATTAGTGGGTGTGTAAACCATAACTTTGGAGCCAAAGGCTGGTTCTACACAGCTATGGTCTAATGCCTCTCTGCAAGAGAGATATCACTTGAATAAGGTAAGAGGACATAACGATCAAGCAGATGCATTCACAAGACGTCTGGGTAAAAAAAACAAAAGTCATGAATTCACATTCGGGTCAAATACGTAACACTTTCTTTTTCTGAATTCTTAACTAACCAAAGCATGATAATAAGACAAAATGTAAACACAGAGAATGTTTTTCTTCTGTCGAAAAGTGTAAAAGTGTGAAAGAGACATATCAACAATAATAATTTAAAATGACTTCGTAATAATAGCAACAAACATGTCACCAGCAACAGTCTGAAATCTCAAGCATTGGTTATATTTTATTATCATTTAAATTATTTTCCCTCACTTTCTCTGACCTTTCTTTGCTTCATGTTCAAATCTTCCCTCTCCTTCTTGTTCAAAAAAGAGCAAGAAACAAAGTAATTACGAAACTTTCTTCTTCACGATATTTCAAAATCAAGATTTGGTTAAAGGGTCCCATCTTTTTTCTCTCTTTCTTGCCTACGTTTTTAATTCTTGATTCTCATAGAATTTAATGCTCATGGCTTTCATATGAATCCTCTGAAGCTTACAGGCTCCATTGAACAGTAAAATCTTGTGAAAGTCTGATCCTTATAATACCGAGAGAGGAAGCTCCCAGATGGCAAACAAGATGAGTGAGACAGCTTCTAAGATGGATGATTATGAAGTCGTTGAACAGATCGGAAGAGGAGCTTTTGGTTCTGCTTTTCTTGTGATTCACAAGTCTGAGAAAAGAAAGTGAGTTAAGATCTAGACTTTTGAGTTTATAGTTTGTGTGTATTTTGTTTCTTATGATCTTCTGGTTTGAGATCTAAGGACTCTTCTTTGTAGATATGTAGTGAAGAAAATTCGTTTGGCTAAACAAACAGAGAGATGCAAGCTTGCTGCGATCCAAGAGGTTAAATTACATGAGCAAGCTTTTTATATGTGTTCTTGATTATATCTAACATGATTAACTTCAGATGAGTTTGATATCAAAGCTTAAGAGTCCTTATATTGTGGAGTACAAAGATTCATGGGTTGAAAAGGTGATAATAGTCTTGTTCAAAGCTCATAATCATGAACAAAATTTTACAGAATGTTTTAGCTGGTGTGTTTTACTGGCTATGCAGGATTGTGTATGCATTGTAACTAGTTATTGTGAAGGTGGAGACATGTAAGGCAATCATTTCACATTCCAATCTTATGTTTCTTTGGTTTTATTTTCACTGATGTTTTTTTTTTTAATAAATGTAGGACTCAAATGATAAAAAGAGCTAGAGGAACATTTGCCTCCGAAGAAGTGAGCAGTCATTAAGGAATCTATATGGTATAGACAAGTAATGAATTGATATTGGATAACAACTTTAGGATTATATCTTCTTCTCTGCAGAAACTCTGCAGATGGATGGTTCAGCTACTGTTGGCTATAGATTACCTCCATAACAATCGAGTTCTTCACCGTGACCTTAAGGTAATTCAACTTTCTAGTTCTCTAATTGCTTCTTTTGCTACAATGGAACAGAACATCCATTAACACTGCAACTCAAACTTTACAGTGCTCAAACATATTCCTCACTAAAGAAAATGAGATTCGATTAGGTAAAGATATCATATGCAGAATCTTTGTTACCTCTTCAGAAGCTACTTTAGATCCTAAGTTGTTTCTTCTTTCAGGTGACTTTGGTCTTGCAAAACTTCTAGGCAAAGATAATCTTGCTTCCTCGGTAATGCTCATATTCTTATAGCTTTTCGTCAGAATATTATCTGAAACCTTTTCTTGTTTTTTGTAGATTGTGGGAACACCAAACTACATGTGCCCTGAACTTCTTGCAGATATACCTTACGGCTACAAATCTGATATTTGGTCTTTAGGTTTAATGCTCTTCTTTAACTTTACACAATCTTTAAAGCTTCTTGTTTATCGTTTAACTTTATTGTTATTGTTCTTGTGTTTCTCATAAAGATTTTGGTTTTACAGGTTGCTGTATGTTCGAAGTAGCTGCACATCAACCTGCCTTCAAGGCTCCTGTAAGAACATTTATCATTTTCTTCTTGTGTTAAATATGAAACTTCTTTTGAAAACTCTGTTTCTTGGAAACAGGACATGGCTGGACTCATCAATAAGATTAACCGTTCTTCACTTTCTCCTCTCCCGGTCATGTATTCCTCTTCATTGTAAGTCTACATAAAACATTTACTCGAATTTTCTCTAAACAAGATTTGGAGTGTTAAATTATTATGAACTTCTAATATGTTTCTGCAGAAAAAGACTGATTAAAAGTATGTTGCGCAAGAACCCTGAACATAGACCAACTGTGAGTTAATGATGAGTTCCATTAGTTTCTTCCTTTTGTGGCTTTTCTTTTAATTGGTAAATGTTTGTTATATAGGCTGCAGAACTGTTGAGACATCCTCACTTACAGCCATATCTTGCACAATGCCAAAACCTGTCTCCGGTTTTCAAACCAGTTGTATCCAAATCAGAACACAACACCACCCACGTAAACAAAACAGGCGAGACCCGTCTTCCCACAAGAACAGGCACTGCGAAGTCCGCAAAAACACCCATGAAACATAACCAAGCACGAGCAGAAGAAGCAGAGGAGAAACAGAAGAGAAACAAGAGTACAAGTTCAAGTTCAAAAGACAAAGAAAAGCCAGAAAAGACACAAGAGATGTCTTTGCTTAGCACATTAACGCTACTACGCGAATATCAGAAGAAGACTCCGAGAAGCGAGGAGAGAGCAGAAGCATTGGAATCTTTGTTGGAGCTTTGTGCAGGTTTACTTAGGCAAGAGAAGTTTGATGAGCTTGAAGGAGTCTTAAAGCCTTTTGGAGATGAAACAGTTTCATCAAGAGAGACAGCGATTTGGCTTACCAAAAGTCTCATGAATGTAAATAGAAAGCAAAATGATGATGAAACCAATCCTTAAAAACAAACACTAACCACACTTTTTTCATGTGACCAACCATTGTGTGTATTAAAGACATTCACTGATCGAAAAGCAATGAAGGTATTTGGTTAAGGATTATGTTATTATTATTATCATACTCATACAAATATTAGTGTAATGACTTACACAATGAGATTATACATCAAAATACAGAGTCTCAACTGAAATTAACAACCTTTAAAGTAATTAAGCAGCTGCCTTTGCTGTTTCTGGATTGATCTCAGGAGATCAAATCTCCAGGTCTTGGTGGAGACCTGATCATCATCGGTCCCTAGTGGAATCAGGGTAGTCCTCAGAACAAAAGGATGTTCCAACAGGTCCGTGGCAGTAGCTCTGCGTGAGGGCTGCACCTCCATGCACTTTGTCACGAAGTCAGTGGCCATAGGAGAGACACGTCTGGGAATCTTCCACGCGTAAAAGTCTCCCATCTTCTTGTTTGGAAGAGAGCGACCAAACATCTGAAGCACCACACACCCTAGAGACCACATATCAACTCCAGGCCCCACCATCTCCACTCCGTTGGGTCCCAAAACCTCAGGGGGCATGTACTGCGGGGTACCACCACACCATGAATCCGTACGCTTAGGTTCCTTGGATAAACCGAAGTCAGCAAGCTTGAGATCCCACGGCTCTCCGAAAGACTCTGAAGGGAAGAGGAGAAGGTTGGCGGGCTTGAGATCGCAGTGAACGTAGCCTCGTGAATGGAGAGCTTCGAGTCCTTGTAAGATCATAAGAGCGGCACGTGCGACCATGATCTCCGGCATGCGTCTGCCACGGAACTTGGAGATGACGTCGTGAAGGGAACCTTTGGAGGCGAACTCCATGTTGATGTAGCAACGGTCGATACCAACGTGGAAATTAGGGCTAGTGGTTTGGATGATGCGTGGATGGTTGCGGAAACGAAGCATGATTCTATGTTCTTTCTTGAGACTTTGGATGAAATCCATTGGAGATGATTTCTCAGCGTAGAGACCGTGTTTGGAATCTCTCATTAGAGAGACGGAACCGAAACCACCTCGGCCAAGAAAAGAGACAAACTCTAGCGAAGAAGAAGAAGATCCGTTGTTGTCTTCTCTAATCATTGTTGTTTCTACAAATTTGGAACTCGTTCTAGCTTTCTGGTGTTTTAGTAAGAGAGATTGATTGTAGTATGCTTCCAAACGCATTCTGGTGATATTTATAGGAAGAAGCTTTTAAACTACCTGAAACAACACAATTTCCTTTTCCGCTTTTTTTTTTTTTTTTTTTTTTTAACACAATTTCCTTTTATGCTAAATCCCTAGATTTTGGGAATCATTAATGGGCTTTTTGGACCCTTAAAACCCTTTAAGCTAACCCACTTACATAATTTTGGTTATTCTTAGATCGAACTAAACTGGCTCTAAAATCAACTCTGGTTTAATTAGTTTTTAGTTTACTTTCTTAATTTAATATATTTGTTTTTTTTGTTTTTTTTTTTAATTGTGAAGCTTCAAGTCAAGTGCACCATTCTCTAACCAAAACTATGTCATTGGGTTTAGCTACCAACATGCAGAATTTCACCCGTTTAAAGACGGTGTCGACTGCCGACTAGATTTGATCCCTCTCGAACCCCTCCGCTCGTCCCCGTCCCCCCCTTAGTCGACGGAAAAACGTCCAAGATTCGGACCTAAATGGAGTTTCAACAACTTCCACAACCGGACAAGGATCGCGATCGTCTCTACAATAACAACCTTAATAACAACACGAAATCTTTAATTTCCTTTTCCGCGAAAGCTCTAGATTTTGGGAATGATTAATGGGCTTTTTTGGACCCTTAAAGCCCTTTAAGCTAACCCAATGACATAGTTTTGGTTAGTCTTAGACCGAACTAAACTGGCTCGTAAAATCAACTCTGGTTTGATTCGTCTTCAGTTTACTTTCTTAATTTAATATATTTGTTTCATTTTTTTTTTGAACAAAATTTGTTTTTTTTTTTTTAATTTGTGAAGCTTCAAGTCAAGTGCACCATTCTCTAACCAAAACTATGTCATTGGGTTTAGCTACCAACATGCAGAATTTCACCCGTTTAAAGATGGTGTCGACTGCCGACTAGATTCGATCCCTCTCGAACCCCTCCGCTCGTCCCCGTCCCCCCTTTAGTCGACGGAAAAAACGTCTAAGATTCGGACCTAAATGGAGATTCAACAACTTCCACAACCGGACAAGGATCGCGATCGTCTCTACAATAACAACCTTAATAACAACACGGAATCTTTAATTTCCTTTTCCGCGAAAGCTCTAGATTTTGGGAATGATTAAAGGGCTTTAAGGGTCCAAAAAGCCCATTAATCATTCCCAAAATCTAGAGCTTTCGCGGAAAAGGAAATTAAAGATTCCGTGTTGTTATTAAGGTTGTTATTGTAGAGACGATCGCGATCCTTGTCCGGTTGTGGAAGTTGTTGAATCTCCATTTAGGTCCGAATCTTAGACGTTTTTTCCGTCGACTAAAGGGGGGACGGGGACGAGCGGAGGGGTTCGAGAGGGATCGAATCTAGTCGGCAGTCGACACCATCTTTAAACGGGTGAAATTCTGCATGTTGGTAGCTAAACCCAATGACATAGTTTTGGTTAGAGAATGGTGCACTTGACTTGAAGCTTCACAAATTAAAAAAAAAAAACAAATTTTGTTCAAAAAAAAAATGAAACAAATATATTAAATTAAGAAAGTAAACTGAAGACGAATCAAACCAGAGTTGATTTTACGAGCCAGTTTAGTTCGGTCTAAGACTAACCAAAACTATGTCATTGGGTTAGCTTAAAGGGCTTTAAGGGTCCAAAAAAGCCCATTAATCATTCCCAAAATCTAGAGCTTTCGCGGAAAAGGAAATTAAAGATTTCGTGTTGTTATTAAGGTTGTTATTGTAGAGACGATCGCGATCCTTGTCCGGTTGTGGAAGTTGTTGAAACTCCATTTAGGTCCGAATCTTGGACGTTTTTCCGTCGACTAAGGGGGGGACGGGGACGAGCGGAGGGGTTCGAGAGGGATCAAATCTAGTCGGCAGTCGACACCGTCTTTAAACGGGTGAAATTCTGCATGTTGGTAGCTAAACCCAATGACATAGTTTTGGTTAGAGAATGGTGCACTTGACTTGAAGCTTCACAATTAAAAAAAAAAACAAAAAAAACAAATATATTAAATTAAGAAAGTAAACTAAAAACTAATTAAACCAGAGTTGATTTTAGAGCCAGTTTAGTTCGATCTAAGAATAACCAAAATTATGTAAGTGGGTTAGCTTAAAGGGTTTTAAGGGTCCAAAAAGCCCATTAATGATTCCCAAAATCTAGGGATTTAGCATAAAAGGAAATTGTGTTAAAAAAAAAAAAAAAAAAAAAAAAGCGGAAAAGGAAATTGTGTTGTTTCAGGTAGTTTAAAAGCTTCTTCCTATAAATATCACCAGAATGCGTTTGGAAGCATACTACAATCAATCTCTCTTACTAAAACACCAGAAAGCTAGAACGAGTTCCAAATTTGTAGAAACAACAATGATTAGAGAAGACAACAACGGATCTTCTTCTTCTTCGCTAGAGTTTGTCTCTTTTCTTGGCCGAGGTGGTTTCGGTTCCGTCTCTCTAATGAGAGATTCCAAACACGGTCTCTACGCTGAGAAATCATCTCCAATGGATTTCATCCAAAGTCTCAAGAAAGAACATAGAATCATGCTTCGTTTCCGCAACCATCCACGCATCATCCAAACCACTAGCCCTAATTTCCACGTTGGTATCGACCGTTGCTACATCAACATGGAGTTCGCCTCCAAAGGTTCCCTTCACGACGTCATCTCCAAGTTCCGTGGCAGACGCATGCCGGAGATCATGGTCGCACGTGCCGCTCTTATGATCTTACAAGGACTCGAAGCTCTCCATTCACGAGGCTACGTTCACTGCGATCTCAAGCCCGCCAACCTTCTCCTCTTCCCTTCAGAGTCTTTCGGAGAGCCGTGGGATCTCAAGCTTGCTGACTTCGGTTTATCCAAGGAACCTAAGCGTACGGATTCATGGTGTGGTGGTACCCCGCAGTACATGCCCCCTGAGGTTTTGGGACCCAACGGAGTGGAGATGGTGGGGCCTGGAGTTGATATGTGGTCTCTAGGGTGTGTGGTGCTTCAGATGTTTGGTCGCTCTCTTCCAAACAAGAAGATGGGAGACTTTTACGCGTGGAAGATTCCCAGACGTGTCTCTCCTATGGCCACTGACTTCGTGACAAAGTGCATGGAGGTGCAGCCCTCACGCAGAGCTACTGCCACGGACCTGTTGGAACATCCTTTTGTTCTGAGGACTACCCTGATTCCACTAGGGACCGATGATGATCAGGTCTCCACCAAGACCTGGAGATTTGATCTCCTGAGATCAATCCAGAAACAGCAAAGGCAGCTGCTTAATTACTTTAAAGGTTGTTAATTTCAGTTGAGACTCTGTATTTTGATGTATAATCTCATTGTGTAAGTCATTACACTAATATTTGTATGAGTATGATAATAATAATAACATAATCCTTAACCAAATACCTTCATTGCTTTTCGATCAGTGAATGTCTTTAATACACACAATGGTTGGTCACATGAAAAAAGTGTGGTTAGTGTTTGTTTTTAAGGATTGGTTTCATCATCATTTTGCTTTCTATTTACATTCATGAGACTTTTGGTAAGCCAAATCGCTGTCTCTCTTGATGAAACTGTTTCATCTCCAAAAGGCTTTAAGACTCCTTCAAGCTCATCAAACTTCTCTTGCCTAAGTAAACCTGCACAAAGCTCCAACAAAGATTCCAATGCTTCTGCTCTCTCCTCGCTTCTCGGAGTCTTCTTCTGATATTCGCGTAGTAGCGTTAATGTGCTAAGCAAAGACATCTCTTGTGTCTTTTCTGGCTTTTCTTTGTCTTTTGAACTTGAACTTGTACTCTTGTTTCTCTTCTGTTTCTCCTCTGCTTCTTCTGCTCGTGCTTGGTTATGTTTCATGGGTGTTTTTGCGGACTTCGCAGTGCCTGTTCTTGTGGGAAGACGGGTCTCGCCTGTTTTGTTTACGTGGGTGGTGTTGTGTTCTGATTTGGATACAACTGGTTTGAAAACCGGAGACAGGTTTTGGCATTGTGCAAGATATGGCTGTAAGTGAGGATGTCTCAACAGTTCTGCAGCCTATATAACAAACATTTACCAATTAAAAGAAAAGCCACAAAAGGAAGAAACTAATGGAACTCATCATTAACTCACAGTTGGTCTATGTTCAGGGTTCTTGCGCAACATACTTTTAATCAGTCTTTTTCTGCAGAAACATATTAGAAGTTCATAATAATTTAACACTCCAAATCTTGTTTAGAGAAAATTCGAGTAAATGTTTTATGTAGACTTACAATGAAGAGGAATACATGACCGGGAGAGGAGAAAGTGAAGAACGGTTAATCTTATTGATGAGTCCAGCCATGTCCTGTTTCCAAGAAACAGAGTTTTCAAAAGAAGTTTCATATTTAACACAAGAAGAAAATGATAAATGTTCTTACAGGAGCCTTGAAGGCAGGTTGATGTGCAGCTACTTCGAACATACAGCAACCTGTAAAACCAAAATCTTTATGAGAAACACAAGAACAATAACAATAAAGTTAAACGATAAACAAGAAGCTTTAAAGATTGTGTAAAGTTAAAGAAGAGCATTAAACCTAAAGACCAAATATCAGATTTGTAGCCGTAAGGTATATCTGCAAGAAGTTCAGGGCACATGTAGTTTGGTGTTCCCACAATCTACAAAAAACAAGAAAAGGTTTCAGATAATATTCTGACGAAAAGCTATAAGAATATGAGCATTACCGAGGAAGCAAGATTATCTTTGCCTAGAAGTTTTGCAAGACCAAAGTCACCTGAAAGAAGAAACAACTTAGGATCTAAAGTAGCTTCTGAAGAGGTAACAAAGATTCTGCATATGATATCTTTACCTAATCGAATCTCATTTTCTTTAGTGAGGAATATGTTTGAGCACTGTAAAGTTTGAGTTGCAGTGTTAATGGATGTTCTGTTCCATTGTAGCAAAAGAAGCAATTAGAGAACTAGAAAGTTGAATTACCTTAAGGTCACGG